CATCCATCCATCCATCCATCCATCCATCCATCCATCCATCCATCCATCCATCCATCCATCCATCCATCCATCCATCCATCCATCCATCCATCCGTCCGTCCATCCATGTTTTTCCGCTTATCCGGGGTCGTGTCGCGGGCGCAGCAGCTTCAGTAGGGAGGCCCAGACATCTCTCTCTCCAGCCAATAAGACCAGCTCCTCCGGGGGAACCCCAAGGCACTTACAGGCAAGCCGAGAAACATAGTCCCTCCAGCGTGTCCTGGTTCTCCCCCTTGGTCTCCTCCCGGTGGGACATTCTTGGAACACCTCACCAGGGAGACGTCCAGGAGGCATCCTAACCAGATGCCCGAGCCACCTCAACTGGCTCCTCTCGATGTGGAGGAGCAGCGGCTCTACTCTGAGTCCCCCCCGGATGCCTGAGTTCCTCCCCCTCTCTAAGGGAGAGCCCAGACACACTGTGGAGAAAACTCATTTCAGCCGCTTGTATCCAGGATCTCTTTCTTTCGTTCTTCTCGTTCTTTTAATTTTTGGCTCAGCTCTCTCTGAACCACCACAGACCGGTATAGCGCACGCCTCACAGCAGACGCCGCACCAATCAGCCTATCGATCTCATGCTTCATCTTTCCCTCATTCGTAAACAAGACCCAAAAATACTTAAACTCCTCCACTAGGCAGCACATCCTCCCCAACCTGGAGAAGGCACTCTACCCTTTTCAGGCTCCAGACCATAGTCTTGGATTTGGAGGCACTGATCCCCATCCCGGCCGCTTCACTCTCGGCTGCCAACCGCTCAAGTGAGAGCTGTAGATCACGCCCTGATGAAGCCAACAGAACCACATCATCTTGGTAAGGCCACCAAGACTGTCTTGGTGGCCTTAGGGCTTATATTTTAGCAAAGTAAAAATGAACCTCCAGTTATAACCTGTTTGATGATAATTGGGTGTAAAATGCTGCGAGACGTATCAAACTGTTATTCCTGATGGACGGACAGAAGATGAACTGGTATACATCATAGGACCTGATGATCTTTAAAGTTTCTTCCCGTCAGATGGGAGCCAGTAGTGTTTCTCTTTTCATCTTCTCCTCTCCTAAGAGAAGCAGGCGGATCGGAGCGTCCTATCGTTCCTCCCGACTCTGCTGAGAATGGCTTTATGCCCCGATTAGTTTCAGATTTCATGCTCTCCCGTGTTGAGTCGCCCAGCTTTAGGATGTTGTCTGAGATTAGCCAGACGGAGACACTGATTGTCATTTCCACCACATTACCATGCATGAAATGAGCAATTATTTAGTAACGTTTTCATTAACCTCTGACAATTGATGCCCGCAGCCGATCAGACGGGGAAGCTGTTCGTCGGTGACGCCGTCCTGCAGGTGGGTGCATCACTTCCTGTCTCACTGCTCGTAGCAACAGGAGGCCATTTCTGCATGTTCATTTCAGCAAAGGGTCATTAGGACTGGGTAGAAGAGGGGATATTATGAAATCTGAGCAGCATAATGTGTAATAAATGTAAGGGTTTTGTTTCTCAAACATTCACAGACTATATTTTGGGTTATTTAGCCTGAAAGGACACAAAAAAAATGAAGGATTATCTTTCACAGTTGTTTCATCACTGCATCATTCAGTGTCTTTAATAGTCTTTAATATTTATGTATGTATTTTTTAAATGGCTTATTTGGTGTTTTGACTTTGTTTCTACCATTGTGTTTTTATGGTTTGTACCGTAACCTTGAGTGTCCAGAAAGGAGCCTTTGAAATAAAATGTATTATTATTATTAAAATAAGAAATGTTTTGATTTTCAGTCGGCCATCGTAAGGTCGTTGTGGTCGTGGGCAAATCTCTCAGTGGGCAAACGAGGATTCTTCTTCTTCCTCTCAGAGGAAAACCCAGTAGAATGGCGGGGGTGCAATGGGTGAAATGAAGTTCTTTCTGTAAAATTGACAGATCGTAGTAGCCATGTTTGCTTGGCCATGTCTTTGTCCAAATACGTTGTCGCCTTTTCTTTTTCGGGCTTTCAGCACAAATTGCCCAAATTGCCAATGCAGCGTGTTTCACTCTAGTGAGCTTCATATTCTTCTTCTACTCATTTGGCTTTCAGATAGACGAGTCTGAGTAGCTCCATCTCACTGCAGAGCTGAGTCCCACCTGGTTTTAGACATAGAGTGTGAGCAGGTAGATCGCATCAGGGCGTCGGGTCGCACAGCGTGTGAACAAACATCGTGAGCTGTGAACTTTTAAGCTCGATACAGGCCGATACCGATAGGGGGCCGATTATATCGTGCATCCCTAACAGAAATCATAATAACTCCAACAGTTATGTTGTTGTTATCTCGTGTCACGAGCACTAGGTCTCAGCCTGTTATGTTCTGGATCTCGGAAACATCCGAACACCTCGACAGGCAGCATGCGCGTTCATGTGTAAATGGCCTGTACTTATATAGAGCTTTTTCAAGTCAGGAGACTCTGACCACCATCAGTAGACGGTGAAGTGTCTTGCCCAAGGACACAACGACACTGAAAGTCAGAGCCGGGGCTTGAACCGTCAATCCTTCGATTGCAGGGCATACTCCTACATCCGACGCCACTGTCGCCCCATGTTTTAAAGGCATGGTTTCCATGGGTGGTCTGAAGGGAGAGGCATGGTTGTGTATGTTCAAAAATATAGCTTTCTGGAATCGTTTTTCCAGGATCTCCTACTGCACCTTTAAGCTAGTGTAATAATTCATTTGGATCTGGCTCAGACCAAAACTTTAACTTCAAATTAAATATTTAGTTTTTATGTCTGATAGATACTTAATTAACAAGTTAAATAAATAAAAAAATGTGAATGATATGGTGATAATATGAGTTGAAAAAAAAACATCCGTTTTATATTATTTTCTTTTATTTTTAATTCCAAATTGTGGTCAGATGTATTTTTGATAACTGTTATTATTATTTATCACAGAAAACAGAGAATTTTCATTCAGAAGAGACTAACTGAACTGAACTCATCGGCATTTATTAGTAATATAATCTTTAATTACTGTCTGGAAACCCTTCAGTATTTATTTGCTTCGGTTCATGAGCAGCTTTTTTATTAGATGGATGCTGTTTATCTCCAGGATCAGATGGAATCAGCAGACCAATATTAATATTCATGGAAGTGATTGTGAATCTGCTTTGTGAGCCGTTTATTTGCAGAGTATCTGAACGGTCACACAGCAGAATATTACAACCATCTGCATACAAGCTTTGCAGCAGGACCGGCCTATTCTGCAGCTTCTAATGAGAAGGTTCAGCTGGAACAGATGGAGAAATGATCCAATTGGTCAAAGAATTTTCAATATGCAACCAATTAACATAAAAACAGGAATTTGGGCTTTCTGAGTTTCTAATTTGAATTGGAGTTTTCTGAGGAGGTTGTGGATCAATTCAGTTTAAGTCAGTTTATTTCTATAGCTCCAATTCACATCATGTCATCTCAAGTCACTTTCCAGTTCACCAGATCATCCAGTCAGATTGATTCAAAGTTTTATATCTAAGGAAAATCAGCTGATTGCATCGACTCATTGACTCTTCAGCAATCCCTCACACTAAGCATGCATGTAGTGACAGTGGAGAGGAAAAACTCCCTTTGAACAGGAAGAAACCTCCAGCAGAACCAGGCTCAGTGTGAGCGGCCATCTGCTGATGCGGACTGGGGTTCAAGGAGACAGAAGCAGACATAGAAAAAGAAGCATAGATACAAAAGGCAACTGTCCTTAAAAAAAAAAAAAAAAAAAAAGCCCCGCAGGGTGAGTATCCTGCATTAGCATTAGCATTAGTTGATCTGGCAGCTGGTCAGCAAACATTGACCAGGTGAGTACAAGGGTGCCACTTACTGGCATGGAGGAATTTAAGATCCTAGCTATCACAAATGGAGGGAAAAGGAAAGCATCACCTGCTGAAAGTGCTGCAGGATCGGTGAAAACATACATGGATGGACTGACAGGCATAAAAAAGCCCAGATTTATCAGCCTGTCTGTAGTTTAAACATCACAACAGGGTCTGACTCCATGATGACTCCACAATTGATCAGACGCTGCTTTGTTTTTCTCCTGTAGGTTAACGGCATTAATGTGGAGCACTGCACGCACCAGGAAGTGGTAAGTATGTTTAAAACGTTAAAAAATAACTAACTCAGCAGCTTTGACCTGCACTTCCAAACTGAAATGTTTGAGCCCCTAAAGGGAGACTAAAGAGGAAAATAACAACATAACTTTCTTATTTGCACCAATTTGCACCAATATAATTTTTTCTTCTCTTTTCAGTGTCACTTTAGGGGCTCAGTAGAATTGACAGTGTATGGAGTGAATTTTGCTTCATTATTAATGCAAGCAAAGAACACATTTTTTATATTAAAATTTAAAAAACAATATACGATGCAGCTATTAAAGGTAGAATTTTTGAAAAGACCTGACCACTTAAAAGAAAATGCAAACGCACAACCCTGTGTCCTTTTAAACACATGCGAGAGCAAGTAAGAGCCAATTTCTCCTCATGCACGCATTGTTTAAAAGTTGCTGCTTTTTTCTAAAGATTTGCAAATTTTCTACTATGTCAGACTCACCACCAGTAACTGAAAATGAAATGCGGAGGTGCACGTAGGACGGCCTTATGTACACATATCACCAGAATGATTGACAGTAAGGAGGACCAATTATTTTGATGATCCACCTGGAAAAAGACCACTATACCTTCAGAAGGTGAAAATCTTACATATTTTGGGAGTAACTTTGTTTCATTTCTTGATTGCATTTTTTTCTTTCACATTTACAAACCAATAATGCAACAATAATGGAACAAAGTTTGCTCCATAACAGCGGATAATTTGAAGAAATCGATATGAATGTCCTAAATTCCTTCCTCTGTGATCAGCATTGTGCTAAATCCTCTGAGAAACGCAGCGGCTGTTGGCCTCATGTTTGTTGACGTCTCCTCTCTACATTGTTCCTGGTTTGAGCTCTGAAGCTGAACTTCAGCTGTTTCCTTTATTGGCTCCATTATTCTCTCCAGTTTAGCTCGCCGCTTTGTTAGATCTCCATCTTATCGTCTGCCATAACCCCCCCCCCACACACACACACACCCACACACTGCAGCTCTGAACAGCGGTTCCTATATGGCAGTCCATTTTGATATTTACTGAATATGTAATCCAGATGTCTCAAATGCATTTATTCCAAGTCAAAACAAACATTTCGGATATCTAAAATAACATTCTTCCTCTCTAAAAATGAATTCTGACGAGCATGAACTCTAATTCCAGATCTCCATAATAGAGTTACTACTAGTCACAATTATTATTTCTAATATCAAAAATGAATATAACATTACAGATATCCAGAAATCCAATTCAAAAATATATTTCTGCTTGTAGAAATATAACTATAGATATCAACTACTTATTTTATGACTAGTTAAATTAGATTTCCAGATATCTCAGTTTTAAAAATGCCTTTCCTAAATAAAGTTTTAGATACTTGCAAAATAATAATGAGGCTCAATTTTAACATAAAATAAGCAGGCTGACAGTAGCATTTCTATTATAGATAGCACTAAAGCATTCTACCTAGTCACATTTCTATTATAGATAGCACTAAAGCATTCTACCTAGTCACATTTCTATTATAGATAGCACTAAAGCAGTCTTCCTAGTCACAATTATAATCAAGCATTAAATTTTAAGTACTCTGGAGTCAAATTTGTACTAGTAAGAACTACATTTCATCTACTTTACTTATTTAAAGTGGCCGTTTTAAAATACAGAAAGTTTTATTCTTACTGTACAATTTTATTTTTGGTATCCTGAAATAAATTTTTTGCTGGCAAAAATATTTAGTATATCTATATGTACAGTTCTGACTAGTAGGAATGTATTTTAGACCAGGAAGAATCATATTTAAAAGATCAGCAAATTAAACAAAAGAGGGGACAGCTCAATGGCCTGCCATAGTTCTCACTACACTCACCTCCTGCGTGTCAAAACACAGAATGAGGAGTTTTCTGTCAGACCAGCATACCTATAGTCAATACCTATTTATCCCTTTAGTTTTTCCCTTAAGTTTTTGTATAAAAAATAGACTTTAAACTACCTCAACAGGCGTGTTTCCCTATAGTCATGTACAAAAAAAATAATGTAATTACTTCCTTTTTGGTGCTTTTTTTTTAAACATATGGCGATCTGACCTTAAATTGTTTTTTTTTGTATATGAATAAAGGCATTAACGCCCTTTGAGGTGGATTAAAGTCTATTTTTCGCACAAAACTAAACGGATAAAGGTAAATCTGAGGTCCCTCGCGTGTGTATTTGCTGCTGGTCTGACGGGGTATGCTGATCTGACAGAACCCCGGTCATGGCATGCTAATGGGCGCCTGGCAGCTCTATGGACGCTCAGGCGGGCAGACCGGTGCCTTTTATCTTCAGGACTTAGGCTCGTTTGCTTCTTTGTTTGGGATGACCAAACTTAACTGGTGGAAGTGAAAATGGCTCCACGCTGCTGCCTGATTCAGACTTCCAGCCCCTCCCTGTATCTGAACCAATCTGCCTCTGCTCTCAGGTTCACCTCCTGCGGACTGCAGGTGATGAGGTCACCATCACCGTTCGCTACCTGAGAGAAGTCCCATCCTTCCTGAAACTGCCTTTGGGTAAGAGTCTGATCACTACTCCTCTTCCTCTCCCTCATCTTCCTCCTCCACCACCACTGTAGAGGGAAAACATAAATTTACAATAAATTAAATAAATGTACCATGAATTAAGTGGAAGTAATATTTATTTATTAATCTAATGAATGATTCAAATAGGAAAATTACCTCAAAGTTAAAAAATGCGGTCTAATTTTTTTTTTTTCTCATTAAAAACTTTTAAAACTGATTTAGAATTATGAATTAAATCCAATTTGTTTATGTAAAAATGCACAATATAACTGTATTTATTAAAAAAAATGTATGACCTTTGCTTATTCCATTTATCATTTTTAAAGTATTTATATTTTCTTTATTTTGAACATAATCATTTAAATGGGAATGTTACTATTTGAGGTCTTATTTTTATTGTTCAACATGTTATTTATTGTTATTCAATCAAATATTATTTCTCTGTTGGAGCCGCTCAGACCCCCACATACCGGCGGTGCTCTGTCACTGGGAATCCCCAGCAGCAGCTGCCTCAGGCCCGCTCACCTCTTGGGGTTTTTCCCCTACTGTTGGTGGCGGCTGGAAGTAAATTATGCGTTTTTCATGTACGTAATACTACGGAAGAGGATTAGGGCCACTGAAAAAAAAAAAAAAGTAAACTGCTTTTTAAATTTTATTTCAGTTTAGTATGGGAAAAAAGTCAGAATTCTGAAATTAAAGTCAGAATTCTGACTTTTTTCTCAGAATTCTGTCTTATTTCTCAGAATTCTGACTGAATTCTGACAATAAAAAAAAGTCAGAATTCTGAGAAAAAAGTCAGAATTCTGACATTAAAGTCAGAATTCTGACTTTTTTCCCATACTATACTGAAATAAAATAAAAAAAATCAGTTAACTTTTTTTTTTCCAGTGGCCCTAATCCTCTTCCGTATAATACAAACTGCAGGCACCAGGATAATAAAAGCAAACATGTTTTACCAACAGGTTTCTACATTTTAAGTTAATTTAGTGTTTCAGAGGAGTGATCATAGCATTCTGCATCAGCAGTGCTGTTTCTGTCTCCCTGCCAGCTCCCAGATCAGCTTCTCTGATTGGTTGATGTGGCATTAATTTGTCCAACTCCAGCATCTGCTTCTTCTGAAACGTGTCACACGCCTCAGAGGCTGATGAGGCACCGCTCCTGCTGATGCTCATTGATGCGCGTCAACCATTGAGTTTGCACGTAAACTCTCTGCTTCTTCTGCTTGAATCGCATCCTGTGTGAATGTAGCATAGGGTATGTAGGCCGTGTTTTGGTGAGGAGCTGGTTGGATTGTTTTAATAACTATACTGGTAGAAAAAGAGAATTGCTATAAAGTTACTGCAAATGCGGCCAAAGTTTTGTTGTTATTTTATTCAAATTTTAATAAATTCCTCTCCATTTGTTTCTGTCATTGTTTTCTCCCCCAGGTTCTCCTGGACTGGACCACAGTCGTGTTTCCTCTCCGCTGTTCGACAGCGGCTTACATTTAAATGGAAACGGAAGCAACACAGTAAGAAACGTCTCCTTGTTGATCTGCTGCAGGGATCCTGTTTACTAAAAGGCAGATACAACCTGCCATGGTTTGGCTGGGGTTTGATGCTTGATTGGTGAAGAACTATTAGAACATGTTGGTGAAAGCCTAAGTCTGGATAATTCAGTTTATTTATATAGACAAATGTAATCAGGTCACTTTACAGAGACAATTCAACCAGTTCATCTAGTCAGATTGATTCAAAGTTTTCTATGTAAGGAAAACCAGCTAATTGCATCGACACATTAACTTGAAGGCAATCCCTCACACTAAGCATGCTTGTGGCTACAGTGGAGAGGAAAAACTCCCTTTTAACAGGAAGTGAAAATGATAAAAAAAAAAATCCTAAAATAAGGCAGCGCCATTTTACAGAAATAACATCCGTTTACCTGCAAGAATACAAAAAAGAAAACAAAACACTAAAACGGTCCAATTTCAGGAGTTTAGACCAATATTTGCATAACATTGTACACGCCTGAATATGAGCTGGGTGTCACGGTAGGATGAAGGTTTTTGAGGAAACAAATGCAGAGATCAGGAGGCAGAGGTGTGTCTTGAAGATTTAATAAAGCAAAAGAGGCCAAAAGCCAAAATACAAAAATACATAGAACCAAAAAACATCAGAGGAAAACTCAAGTGGGGAGCCAGAGATGAGGAAGCAAAAAACAAAAAGGAACCAGCACTGAGTGACTGTAGAGGTGGAGTATATAAGGGGAACAGAACAAAGGAAGGACTGATAAATATGAGCTAAATATGGAGCAGGTGTGAGAGAACTAACTAGAAGGAAGCCAAGGGGAAAGGAAACAAGCACAAGGGGGCAGCAGAGAGTAACCAAAGACTGCTGCAATATAATACAAAATGAACCAAAGATCATTAAAACAGAATAACTAATAACTAAAAAGTAGAAACTCAGCGTCCCAAAAGGGGAGAACTATAACACTGCGAAGGATAGATGGATGGATGGATGAATTGTTAGAGGGATCAATTTTAAAATATATTTAATTGTTTGTCGAACAAAACAAACTCAACACCATTTAAAACATTGAAATAAAAAGGAGCAGAACAAAGAAAAGTCTGCTATCTGCCCCTTCACACAAATAAATGTAAATATAGTGTGTGTACTTGGCCAAATACCTATAAATCGCTTAGCGTAGCCTAGCTTAGCCTTATAAAGCAAGGACAGTGAGCAGAAGGATGCTTATGGTTTTTCCATGGATAGATCATTTTAA